AGTTAATCAGAGAAGATGGGCTTCCGGTTTTACCCTTCATTGTTTCAATTATCACTTGTAAATCTTCTCTTAATCTTTTTTTTGTTCCAATATGTACAGGCTCATTAATTCATCTACCAGTTTTGGAAGAAAGCCTGGCCATCTTCTTGGTAAATCTGTACTGGCCATTCTCTGTCATTTCAATATTAATGGTGCAATAAGGCATGCAGATCTGCATTTAGTACAACATTTTACCCAAACATTTCCTTAAACATGGTATTATGCATTATTCCCCTTCATTCTCAGACAGCACTAAATTCAGTGGTTCAGATTCAAAAGCAAAATCTTGACTCAGTTGAGTCAAACTGTGGCACTTAACAATTGAACAGAAAGCGTCCTAATGGCTCATGGTGGATAGATGTATTCACAGTGACAAGAAGGCTCAGAGCTAACTCATTGCAATTGAAACAATCTCTTGTTAGTCTCTGGTAAAATTTAACAGCAGAATTCACATTTCCATTTTGATGCCAACTATTACCTTATCCACATGTTGTTTAGAATAGGAATAGCTCCTTATTCATACCACCAACCATCATGTTACAGTTTGGTAAATATTTCCTTCTACAGTCAGAATACCAGCTGAATGTATAACAAGGAGTGTGGTTAATTTATTGCAATCAACACCTGTTTAATACATTTGACATCCCATTAACTTCACCTCATCAAGTGCCTTGATATATCTGACCATTACCTCATTTGTTTCCTCGTGGGATTTTGATTTATGTGGGATAAGGAGTGCCCTGTAAATGGATTTAGCTCTCTCACTGGAAATTCAACTTTTTATGCGCTAGTTCTAATATATAATGTGCAGAAGTCATAGACTTTGAAAGAAATAATTTGGCAAGTACTGGACATTCCCAATACTCTGTCTGAGTCTAGCCTGAATGACAAGGCTCATCACTGACAATTGCATGAGCTATAAAGAAAATGGCTGCTATATGTCAGTGTGTCTTCCACTGAGAGCTTCTCGTAGGGTTGGCATGTGTTCAATACAACCATGGTCAGCGAGATCATAGGGCTGACCACATGCTCCTCTATTCATTGTGAACTCTGTAATATTACTACCGTATGCTATCAGAAACTAAGGATTGAATTTTCACTCCCAAGTTAATAGGTCAATTTGATAGATTTGCTGCTGTAGAAAGGCTGTCAACCATCACAAGCATTGCTTTGGTGGGGTGGGTTTATGTGGCCACAGAGACAATCAAGTGCCAAGGCAGGCTGGTTGGAAGCTCTGTCTGAGCTATTTGACACTTTGCCACACCTGTATTGAAAGCTTTTAGGCTTTCTAGCTATGATTCCTCATGCCATCCATAACCCCCACACAATCTCCATGATGCCTCCACTTCAACACGGTCCATTCAGCAAGTATGCACTTAGTACAGAACCAGTGAACCATGTATTAATAATGTCATGTATGGAACTGCACAGATGAAAAAAAATCAACAAATGAAATAGGAACACATTCAATCCCTTGTCCCTGCTCCACCAGTCAACAAGATCATGGCTGATCTGTTCGTGCTTTGAATTCCACATTTCCATCCGCCCTCAATAACCCTCGATTCACCTGCTGAGCAAGAACCTATCCATCTCTGTCTTAAAAATATATCATGACCCCAACTCCACTGCCTTCTAAGCCAAACAGTTTTAGGGTTGCACAACTCTCAGAGAGGAAAACAACACTACTCATTTCTATCCTGAAGGGATAACCCCTAATTTTAAAACAGTGTCCCCTAGTTCTATGAAACATCCTTTCATAGCCATCTCGTCAAGACTATTCAGGATCTTACACACTTCAGTCAAGTCACTCTTTGTTATGATCCAGCTAATGTTATTACTGGACAAGTTAGATCCCAAATTGAAACCTGCCTTGTTTTAGTTTTAAGTTGCTAAAACATAGGCATGCAATACTGCAGATTTTACTTTACCAATAAAGCAGAAGTTTATTATCAAAAGAAACAAAGATAAAATAGGATAAACCAAACAATTTACTTGTGGCACAAATTCAAAAGTTTTAAACACATACTAAAAGTTTTTAAATAAAATTCATTCATGGGATATAGGTGTTGCTGGCTGGCCAGCATTTATTATCCATCCCCATTTGTCCTTGAAAAGGTGGTGGTGAGCTGCTTTCTTGAATGGCTGCAGTCCATTTGCTGTAGGTCTTTTTCTTTATTCATTCACAGGATGAGGGCATCACTGGCCAGGCAGCATTTATTGCCCATCCCTAATTGCCCAGAGGGCAGTTAAGAGTCAATCACGTTGCTGTGGGTCTGGAGTCACATGTAAGCCAGACCAGGTAAGGATGGCAGTTTCCTTCCCTAAAAGACATTAGTGAACCAAATGGGTTTTTCCGACAATTGACCATGGATTCATGGCCATCATTAGATTCTTAATTCCAGATATTTTATTGAATTCAAATTCCACCATCTGCCGTGGCGGGATTTGAACCCAGGTCCCCAGAACACTATCTGGGTCTCTGGATTAATAGTCTAGCGATACTACCACCAGACCATCACCTCCCCACATACACATACACATACAATGCTGTTAGAGAAGAAGTTCCAGGATTTTGACCCAGCAACATTGAAGGAGTGGCAATATATTTCCAAATCTGGACTATGAATAGTTTGGAGGGGAACTTGCAGGTGGTGGTGTTCGCATCTATCTGTTGCCCTTGTCCTACTAGATGGTTGTAGTCATAGTTTTGGAAAGTGCTGTCTAAGGAGCCTTGGTGAATTTCTGCACCACATCTTGTAGATAGTGCACACTGCTGTTACTGAGTGTCAATGCAGAAGGAAGTGAATGTTTTAGAATATGGCGACAATCAATGATGGGCTGCTTTGTCCTGAATGGTATCAAGCTTCTTTAGCATTGAGTACAGTTTCATTAATCCCAAAACCTCCTTCATAATTTGAAAAGTAAACAATAACTTTCGTGTAATACCCAAAACACCACTTGTACATTACTCATACCAGGTGTTAGAAGAGTGAGATATAATGTACACTGTGTAATTTATATAAATATTTTAGTATCATTTATTATATATTTGGGTTTTGATTTTTAGTTAGTACTGTCTCTAACACCTCAATGGGTTTACGTCACTTTTGACTTTCACTTAAAATTTGGAACTGCAGCTAATTTCTTCCTGGAACTATTGCACACCTGAGTTTAAATGTACTCAGCTTGAAATAATCTCTTCAGGGTTTATCCCAACACTTTAGGTCTGGGACCATCACTAACTCTTTACTCTAAGGTAATCTAGTTTCGCTATATGCTTCCCTTCTCAGGAACACTTCACACAACCATCTTCATTGAAGGTCTTCATGGGACTACCTGAAACACAAAGTAGAACTAAAAATCCCTCTCTCCAAAAAATGGGCGTTTCCCTTAAGCTTAAAAAAATCCCACCTGATGTTCTAAATTGGAGTTTGTTTATCATGTTTGGTCATAAAACCCTACCGATGTACAGAAAAATCCATTCATTCTAAATTCAGGTCTCAAAAGCTGTTTTAAAATAAGTCACCATGCTACAGAGATAAGTACAAGTTATTTATTGACTTCAGATACACAGAAAACCCATGTCACTAACTCAAAACCAAAATCGAAATGTACGTTAAACGATGCTAAAAATATATATAAATCACATAGTCTACAGCGGACCTCACTTTTCTCATCCCCGGTAGAAATAAAGCCAGCCTGTTCAACCTGTCCTCATAATATCCCTCCACATCTTGCCTATTCATGTACTTATCAAAATGTGTTTTAAACTTACAAAACAGTTTGGCACTTCAACACTGCACTTTGGAACACTCATTGCAATACTACTGAGAGGAGACTGTGTGTGTTTGGACAGCACCCAGCTCACCGACTGAACCAGGCTGTATATCAGGGCTACTTGCTTGCTCTTTTGCAATTATCTGTATGTTCACAGTATCTATGTGTTGTTTTTTAGTGCTTTGGCCCCTTAACCATATATTAAAAGACCCTCTACTTCTGACTTGCCTTGCAGTTTACTGCAGACATAAAGCTAGGCAGCGATTCATGCTTGTCAGCAGTGATCAGTGAAGGGGATGGACATGCTACTGTATAGCACCATTTTGTGTCAATTCCACTCCTGTACCATGTGCCAGCATGGAGCTGTTTAAACTTACAATGGATTTGTCAGTAAAAGACCAGCTGGTGCAAACTGTCCTATTCAGAAGTGACACCACATCAAAGTGACTCCCTGGTCCACAAGGTACCACACAGACTCCTGGGAGAGGAAGCCTAATCAAACACTGAAGGGCTCAGAATTGGGGGAGGGCAGGGGTGGTCAATGGAATCTGGAAAATTATCCTTTTTATTGCCCCTAGGTTATTGAAGTTAGTCCAAATTTTGCATGACTTCTTTTACTTGCTTGTCTCTTATATAATAAGGTATTCACTCCAGCCAGCTATCCGCTGAAGATGACTCTGGACAATGCCAAAAGACTTTGGGAACAAATCTGCAAATTTCCGATATCGGCCTCTGGCATGAAGGAACTGGGTTATGTAGTATTAAAGGAGATTCTGAGAATGATTCTTTTATGAATATTCACATATTTAATCTTATTTTTTAGCACTTTTGATCTAAAAGGAATAATTGTTGTTGGTGACGGAAATACAGTATACCATCCTGAAACATCACTCACAATATTGATCAAAATAGCATGCAAAATGAAAAATGAAATAAAAACCTCTGTTTTAAAAGCTTTCAGGAAGATTCCTGTCACATTTTTTTATGCTTAGCCTTTGCATTAAGGGCTGGAAAAATAATAAGGTTTTTGGAAATAGTCTTGATTGTGTAACTTTGTAGGTTTTGGTTGGCAATATATGGATGTTTTAGTTTAACATATCAGAGACTTCTCTAATGGTTGCCCTTAAAGAAAACCACATCCTGTCTTTGACGTTAAACACGTCACACTTGTTTTTCCTGTCAGCGTTATGTGTTTTTAAAAAAACAGCATTTGCTGTACAATTGAATAAGCCAAGTTTTCAGAAGATGATTTCATACTGTCCAATCTGTGCAAAACCTGTCTATTTTGGTAAGTCTGTGTTCCTTTCTAACATGAAGCTGAGCTGAATTAAAAATTCATTCTGTAATCCAATTGATGTCGTTTGTTCCTGTTCATGTTGATGCAGTGTTGTGCAACTAGACTAAAATTATTATTTGACAAAAATGATAGTGGTAATTATTGTGCTGTCAACTGTGTTGTCCTGAAGGGATGTGTCCTTTCCATAACTGGTTGAATTGGGCCTCAGCCAGACTTTTTGAGTTGAAACAACATGTTGCAGAGATACTTTCAAACTGTTGGGTCAGTCATTACTGATGTGAGACGCATGTAGGAAGCAAGTGCTTGGCTTGTGAGTGACTTCAATCTTTATTGTTAAACTTTTCAATACAAAGCAAAGATGGATGTTGATAAGATATAACTGAGTGAATAGATTTCCCTACTTATAAAATATACGGCGAGGTTTTAGGGTAAGCAAGAGGAAATAGGCCTGGCGATGTCAGTGCAGCTTATCATACGCACATTGCTAGAGTGAGGAACTGATCTTTCTATCGAGCAAATACTGATTTATTGTCACAAAAAAAGTATATTGCTGGGGAAACACAGCAGGTGTGGCAGCATCTGTGGACAGAAAGCAGAGCTAACTGGGAGTTCTCAAGAATGGCCACTGGACCTGAGTCATCAACTTTGCTTTCTTTCCACAGATGCTGCCAGACCTGCTGAGTTTCTCCAGCAATTTCTGTTTCTGTTTCAGATTTCCAGCATCTACAGTTCTTTGTTTTATTTCTGATTTAATTGTCATTGCAAAAATAGTGAAAATCATGTGGCATAGTGGTCACATTTTAATTTCTGAAGAAAAACCTCATTGCAATGACACCTTGTTTCAGACACCATTTTAAAAGATGCACATTGGAAAGTGGCTTCAGTATAACCTTGCTAACAAAATCAGAGAGAATGGATATCAGCATCACAATGTGAGGGACAAAATTAAAGCTTTCGGCAAAGGTGGGAAAATGTATCCTGTTTCTAACATAGCATCCTGAACCAAACAAATATTGACATTTTTAAAAATATAATGTATGAAAAAAAGCTTCAGCTGAAAGTGGTTACTTTTCATTTAATAGAATCCCTCATTAACACCTTTTCTTTTTACAGCGGAGAGGAAGCGATCTTTAGGCAAAGACTATCACCCTCTTTGTCTAAAATGCTATCGTTGCAAGCGCCAGTTAAGTCCAGGCCAACATGCAGAGGTATGTAATGTGTTGAACCTCCATCTGTCTGCCCCAGTATTTAACTATATAGCTGTAATATGACTATAATCTGTCTCCTCAAACTTGCTCTATTTTTGCTCTCTCCTTGTGGGAATCATAAGCAATCAGAACATCTTAGGCTTGCTTTTTAATCATGACCGTCAACATCATTTTTCCCCAATCTACACATGGAGTTGAAACTAATTATGTATCATCTTTTTATATATCATCTGGGCCAAAATCCTGGATTTCCCTCTCTAAGGGCATTGTGGGTTTACCTGCAGCAGAGGGACTGTAGTGTTCAAGAAGGCAGCTCACGACCACCTTCTCAAGGGCAACTAGGAATAGGCAATAAATGCTGGCCCAGCCAGTGATGCCCATATCCCATGAGCGAATATATAATTTTTTTAAAAATCTGAGTTAGAATTCCATTGCTGAGCATTCCTTATTTACATGACAGGGCGCCTGGGAGAATGTGATTCTCATCGGGGTTGCATGCTTAAGCAGTGGGTGTATTGGCTGCAACTGGTTTGTGTGAGTTCAGTTGTGCTTGTTTCATAAGGGTGTGTGCGCTTACACATCAGTGTGAACTGATGGCTGTAATATAACGAACTGCCACTAAAACTGTTGGTACAAATGAAGGGTATTAATTCAATCACACTGTTTGAAGTCAGCTCCTTTCCAGGGTGAAAGTCAGACTGTAAATGAGTGCATTTTAAAAGCAGGTTTGCACATTTTACAGGAATACTGGTAATTCAAACCATATCCCACATCTTTATAAATAACTCTACAATACTACAGAATCAGATCCTTCGGAATGACGACTGTTGCTGTATAAATACATTCAAACTAAGACTGCATAAAAATTCATGTTTTAAACTTTTATTCATGTGCACTTCTTTGTTATGGGATGTGTCAAATTATCAACCGTAAAAAGATAAAAGTTAATATCATATGTAGTAGTATTACAGCCTCTGCAAAACAAGATAGTAATATCTTCTCTGTTGTTGACTAACAGAGAATTTTCAAAATGAATTCCAATAGTTAATTGCCAAACAAGAGACTATTGAAGTGAATGCAGCTATTTAAAGTGCAGGGGATTTCTCCTGATGGCTGAGCCAACATTTTTCTCTCTATGATCAAGTATATATTTTTCATCAGTGCTGTTTTCAGGGCCTTGCTGATAAGGGTTGAGAGTCTGTAATTCCTTGCCACTCAGATCTGTGAGGGCAGAGTCTTTGTGTCGATATTTTTCAATTAACCAGTTCTGATGTGTTATTACACACTTCTAAAATAGATACCCATGTCTCCTAGCTCAGAGGCAGGGACACTACCATTGCACCGCAGGAGTCTATATGTAGATTTAAAGCCAAGATGGATAGATAGATATTTGACCAGTAGGGAATCAGGGGTTATGGGGAAAAGGCAGGCAAGTGCGCACGAGGAATGTCAGATCAGCCATGATCCTACAGAATGGTGGAGCAGGCTCAAGGTGCCAAATGGCCTACTCCTGTTCCTAATTCTTATGGTCTTATGATAACCTGATCAACCTCTTAGAATTGATTTTTGTCTTGCTTGCCTCAGTGGCTGTAGTGATTGTAATGAGGTCAGCCATGTGAACCTCACAGAACATGAGTTTCCTGATTGGGGCTGTTATTTGTTCCAATCAGGGAGCCCTGGCTGACAGATAAGAACAGGAGTGTCAGACATCCTGTTCAATCTGAGAGCTGGCTCTGAGGGAGCTGGATCAGTGTCAAGGACTCTCCATGTGTAAATAAAGGATGACTTGGTGATGGGATACCGGCCGTTGCAGAGTTCATGATCAGTGGTATGATCAGTATGGTCAGTGGCAATGAGAGAAAAGTATGCTCCTGAAGAAATTTACTCACAACAGCTGTCTTTGAGTTGGGGTAAGCATTTCTGGCACCATGACGTTATTTGAGAAACATTTGATCCTGCTGTCAAAGACTAGGCCCAGTATGTGGAAAGAATGTGTTTTTTTTTGAGCAAATGACACTGGGACAGATGAAAAACAATGAGTAATTCTCCTGACAGCTTGTGAACCTGCAGCTTTTTCGGTTATTAGGAGACAAAACTTTCCCTGAGGTACCACATACCTCTCAAGAAGTTGACAGATTTAGTTAAGGAATATGGTGAACCCAAGCCTCCTCTAATTCTGAGCCCCTTTTGGTTTTACTTGGCAAATCCATATCGGAACTTTTGACAAGATTAAGATGACTGGCAGAGGCATGTGACTGTGATTTAACCATTAATGAGATGCTGAGAGACCATTTGGTGTGTGGGATTAATGATGAACACATGCAAAAGTGCCTACTAGCTGAAGCCCAACTGAACTCCAAATAGGCACCAAAACTGGCTTTATCATTGGAAAATGCAGCAAGTAGACCATATGAGTTGCAGGGTAATCTGATGGAAGTCAGTCTGACTATGATTGGGGAACACCACTTGAGTGAAGGCAATTGTATAGCCTCGCTCAGGACATATCCTGAACAGAGGGACTCTAGGCCAGCCCACAGCAAAACCCCAAAACAAAGCCAGGCCTCTGCCAAACCGTTAAAATTTTCTTCAGGATCCAGGCTGGCAACCCATTGTAGTTGCTGCCAATTTGTGAACTCGAGACAGCTAAAGAGTCCCACTAGGCCTAAATGGAGTAAAAGAACTCACAGACCAGTATTCAGGAGAGTGCACACTCTGGAAAGTCCACCTACATTTGGATCTGAACAGTTAAGTTGCTTAGCAACATCCAAATCAGAACCAAACCTGGTTAAATGGTCAGAGATAGTAGGAACTGCAGATGCTGGAGAATCCGAGACAACAAGGTGCAGAGCTGGATGAACACAGCAGGCCAAGCAGCATCA